AATTAGGCCCCGTATTATAATAGCGACCCCAAAAGGGACCATAATTTTGACAACCACCCATATGTTACTAACAACCCCGCGAAGCCTTGAGCGGCTCAAAGGTTTCTCGATGCTCTGGGCAGGGCCCGTGGATTCGCAAAGCCTCCTGATTGCTTCTTAGGGCTGAAGGAGTACAATATAGGCGTCGGCTTTAGGAGCAAATAGGGTTTGGGTTTAGGTCTTAAGGTTTGGAATTATTGTTGTCCTGAGGTTCGCTAGTTTAGACTCTAGTTTAGATGCAGCGCGAAGTACAACCTTGAGGCTTAGGATTCTGGAGTTTAAGGTTTACAGGGTTTTCAAGATTGAAGCGTAGGGTTGCAGGCTTTGCTGTTAGGGTTTAGGGAGTTAAGTTTATGGTTTGGGATTTAGTTTAGGGCTTGCAGTTTTTTCTGGCAGGGGTTAGGGGTGGAGAATCTGGAGTTTAGGGTAGAAAAGACTGGGACGGGAGCATTCCAGCAAATGCTTCAACATAGGTCCTGCCACGAATAGGACAACGTCAGTCTCAAGGTGCGAGTAGGCTTTTGGGCGTAGGATTGGTGATGGGTGTGTGTTCTCGGGAGGCCTACTGTTTTCTTCCCCACAAAAGGAGGCGTTCAAGTCAAGCAGGTTTCTCTACTTCCTAGTGCTCCCAAAGCTTGCCAAACCCTACTTCCTAGCACCTAAAAATCCAAACCCCAAACACCCGCACATTGACACCTGCAGTCCGTAGTAGCCAAGAAGCTTCAACTAACCAAGGACCCACTACTAGGCAGCCTACTGGGAGGGTCTAGGTTGAGGTTGTTGGAGGTCCCTAGAAGGTCGCACCCGCAGTCCTGGTGCGCTGCAGTGCCATAGCCTGAATGGGTTTACTTATTTGTGGCACCGTGGGTTGACTCAGGGCTTCGGAAACCTACCTAAACGGAGTTACAGAAGATTCGTTATGGGATTTTCGGGGGATATTGTATTCACCAGGGTTCCGCAAAGTGTGGCTTCTCAAAGACGTTCTTCCAAGAGTCCTCTCAAGGACTTATTCCTAGGACTCCCAAAGCAAGGTTTTACGATCTGGCATCTGAGAGCCCCCGCCCTGTAACAGTCTGCAAAAGGGCCATAGTAAGGGCATGATGTGAGGCTTTCCCAGAATTAGGGTCCTTGTCATGGGTTCTAGTAGTTTGGGGATGATAGTGGGGTCCCCGTACTTTGGTAAAGTACCAATAACTGCATTATAAATATTATACATCCAACTGTTGCAGAGTTGGGGGGAGGAGCAGTATCCAACGTATAGAAGCCAACGAGGTTGGTGCCAGCACGGCGAATTTGCACCGTGTTTTTTTTGGAAGACGCCTAGTTTGAATTGGTTTTGGGTGTCATGTTTCATGAGATGTTCCATCTGATTCTCCACTGTTGGGGGAGAATGTCCCCATAGCCCTTCAGAACCTCTATCACAATCGGGGGATAATATCCCCATACTTCTGCGTAACGGCAATATGAGCTATAGTCTAAACTCCCCGTACCCCACGTAAATAAGCCCTATAATGCCCCCCTATATATATAGCCCCTTTAAAGAGTTTAACCCCTAAACCCTAAAATCTGAACCCTTAACGAACCCTTAACCCTAAACCCTGAACCTCAAACCCCGAACCCTAAACCCTGAACCCTGAACCCTACATCCTAAACCTCCAACCCTAAACACTGTATAACCACTTACATTTATGGCACCCTCGAAGGAGACTTCAGTTCTGGGCCTTGCCTCCCATGCCCCCGGCAAGATTCTACTGGCAAGAACCACAGTGAACAGCAATACCTGGACCCCGAAAGTATGTAAAATAATGGCCTTTATGGCTATTATTAGGGGTTTAGGACTATTATTTTACATACTTTTGGGGTTTAGGTAGTTGTTAAGTTGGGAATCAGGGTTTAGGGTTTATAGTGTTTAGGGTCTAGGCTTGAAGGAATAATCACAACAGGAGCCGTAGGAGCAGGACGCGTGAGCTCTATTGCAGTGAAAGCAGGACCACTGACAGTCGCAGTCGTGGCGGAGGCAGCAACATAAATTCACAAAGCAGGAGTAGAAACATGCAAGTTTCTTCTACTAGCAACGTGAGGCAGGGATGGACTGAAGCAGCAGCAGCAGCAGCAGCAGCAGCAGCAGCAGCCATTCGCCATGTACCAGCATCATGTCACTGTCCCGAAAAATCTGGAAAGACAACCATGCCACGGCAAACGGATCCCAATTTGGATGCCTCACGTGGTTTACATATTCCCGACGTTACACTTTCAAAAGTGTAAGTCCTCAGATCTGACTAGCTTGTATCTTGCCCATCCCGCTAGCCCTGCCTACACATATCACTTACCTTCAGAAGACGGCATCTTACTGTTCTGCCTTTGTGGCTTGCGAAGCCGTAGTCCGGAAACTTGACATCGAGCTTCTTCATCAACCTGCTAAAAAAAAAACAAGAATCTCCAAATCCCGAACTGC